AGCATCACTTACTTGACTTTTCCATGTGCAGCCACACTTTAGCCTGAGGAGCTGGGCTTTTAGTTGGCAACTGAAGTCTGAGCTTCCACAGATAAGTTTCCTTCAGCACTGCTTATACAGTACAGTAATACCTCCGCGAACATCCGCCTTGTCTAGCGTCCATTTCGGCAAACATCCGCAGCAAACCCAGAAGTACCGGAATGGGTTACTTCCAGGTTTGCAGCTCGTGCATGCACAGAAGTGCTAAATCACGCTTCGCGCATGCGCAGACACGACACTTTGCCCTGCATCCTTTCCAGCTAGCGGCCAGGGCTCCAGAACGGATCCAGGCCGCAAAACAAGGTACGACTGTAATGTGCAAATACCATATTTTTCTGTCTATAAGATGCCCCCACGTATAAGACGCCGCCTATTTTGGGGGACTCCGATTTAAGAAAATGGGGGGAGGTGTATAAGACGCCCCCAAATTTTTGACATTCTTTTTTAGGGGGGAAACCTTATACACAGAAAAACATGGTACGTATAAAGCTGGTACTAGGAGAAAAGGGAGGAAAGAACAGTAATTTTCAAATCAGTGGGTGAATCCATCAAGCGCAAGCCAGGGCTACAGTTGCTAGGCAACCAGAGGGGGAAACTTTTGGACATTTTGTGTGTGTTTGTCCTGCTTCCCCCCCCCACCGCCCGATAATTGCCACAAAAGTAAGGGGCAAGGTCAGTCCCCCATGCGCCTGAGTTTTGTTTGTTTGTTGAACTTCTACATCTTAAATGAACAGACAGATTTACCCCAGGGAAGAAGTTCAGTTCAGTTCGCATTTAAAGGCAAATCTACCTAAACCACACTTCCTGATACACTATGTGAACTGGAACAGGGTTGTCCTTCAAAATTGGCATATCTCCCCATTTTGCAATAAAGTCCTCCAGTCACATGATGTGTACAATGCACACAATAGGTACAAATTTGCATTAAAAGGCATATACCGGTATTTGTGATAAGTGTACAAAAATGCACAATATTAGTGAATACAGCTTGCAAAATTGGTTTCTTTTGCCTGCAAATGGTGTATATGTGGATAAATTTACCATAGAATTTTGAGGCTTCTTTTTTTTAATAAGGACTTTTTAAAAAGAAGAATTCGTGAGCTGATGTACGGAGACTGGAAACAGGAGAACACTGAAAGAAACCAAATGTGACAGATTTGACCATCCGTAGTACTCAGGTCATCAAAAAAATATCCCAGACACTGCCACTTTGCTTTACCAGTTCAGACACACTTTGGGCTTTAGCCAGAACACTTTTATTTCAAGAACTGGCACCTCCAACCAAGATCCCGCTCAGTCCATGGTCTCTTTCGCAGCACAGGTGAGGCAAGACCCAACTACTGGGTCCCCAGCTCTCGCCGCTGTCCCTGGACTCAAACGTTTGTATTTTGAAGGCCTTCCTTGTCAGGGGAAGGATACTGCAAATGAACAGAAATTTCTTTTAGTAACTCAGTGTGCACATTACACTGGAGCCACCATATGCACCAGCACTGAATACATCGAAATTCTTCCATCTCATTATAGCCCAAGAAAACTAAACCAACTGTAGTAATGAGAGTGTAGGGGAAGACTTCTTGTGATGTTTAAGGAGAAACTTCCACCCTAATTTAAGGAGCCTTTAACCTTCCATGGCAAGTGCCATCTAGTGGCTTTTATCCTATTAACAATCAATTTTACACCAATTATGGGAAGGCACATTTAAAGTTACAAAGAAGAGATATGAAGGTCCCCTTGGAAACGAATTTAGGCTACAATCCTATACCCGTTTACCTTTGAGTACAGAAAAAGGTTTTTTTGAAAAAATCCCTAAGCCCCAGGGTCACAATTTCATAAAAAATCTGACTTTCGGCAATTCACTCAAAAATGGTGCCAAACGGTTGAAAATGCTCCCCTGAGAGGTTTGGCGGTCGAAACAGAAGGCTTTTTATCACAGGACAAGAAATCAGCCCTCGACAACTTCACCGGCAGAAAAAGATTTTTTTGAAAAAATCCCTAAACAATTTCATAAAAAAATCTGACTTTTGGCAATTCTCTCAAAAATGGTGCCAAACGGTTGCAAATGATCCTCTGAAAGGTTTGGGAATGGAAACAGAAGGCTTTTTATCACAGGAGAAGAAATCAGCCCTCGACAACTTAACCGTCAGAAAAAGATTTTTATGAAAAAATCCCTAAGCCCCGGGGTCAAAATTTCATCAAAAATCTAACTTTCGGCAATTCTCTCAAAAATGATGCCAAACGGTTGCAAATGATCCTCTGAAAGGTTTGAGAATGGAAATAGAAGGCTTTTTATCACAGGAAAAGAAAAAATCTGACTTTCGGCAATTCACTCAAAAATGGTGCCAAACGGTTGCAAATGCTCCCCTGAGAGCTTTAGCGGTTGAAAGAGAAGCCTTTTAATCACAGGAAACGAAATCAGCCCTAGACAACTTAACCGGCAGAAAAAGAGTTTTTTGAAAAAATCCCGAAGCCCCAGGGTCACAATTTCATAAAAAATCTGACTTTCGGTAATTCACTCAAAAATGGTGCCAAACGGTTGCAAATGCTCCCCTGAGAGGTTTGGCGGTCGAAACAGAAGGCTTTTATCACAGGACAAGAAATCAGCCCTCGACAACTTTACCGGCAGAAAAAGATATTTTTGAAAAAATCCTAAGCCCCGGGGTCACAATTTCATAAAAAATCTGACTTTCGGCAATTCACTCAAAAATGGTGCCAAACGGTTGCAAATGCTCCCCTGAGAGGTTTCGTGGTCGAAACAGAAGGATTTTAATCACAGGAAAAGAAATCAGCCCTCGACAACTTAACTGGCAGAAACAGTTTTTTTTGAAAAAATCCTAAGCCCCGGGGTCACAATTTCATAAAATATCTGACATTCGGCAATTCACTCAAAAATGGTGCCAAATGGTTACAAATGCTCCCCTGAGAGGTTTGGCGGTCGAAACAGAAGGATTTTTATCACAGGAGAAGAAATCAGCCCTCGAAAACTTAAGAGGAAGAAAACGATTTTTTTGAAAAAATGCCTAAGCCCCGGGGTCACAATTTCATAAAAAATCTGACTTTCGGCAATTCACTCAAAAAAGGTGCCAAACGGTTGCAAATGATCCGCTGAAAGGTTTGGCGATCGAAACAGAAGGCATTTAATCACAGGAAAGAAATCAGCCCCCGACAACTTCACCGGCAGAAAAAGATTTTTTTGAAAAAATCCTAAGCCCCAGGGTCACAATTTCATAAAAAATCTGACTTTCGGCAATTCACTCAAAAATGGTGCCAAACTTTTGCAAATGCTCCCGAGAGGTTTGGCGGTCGAAACAGAAGGCTTTTATCACAGGAAAAGAAATGAGCCCTCGACCACTTAACCGGCAGAAAAAGATTTTTTTGAAAAAATCCGTAAGCCCTGGGGTCACAATTTCATTAAAAATCTGACTTTCGTCAATTCACTCAAAAATGGTGCCAAAGGGTTGCAAATGAAAGGTTTGGCGGTCGAAACAGAAGGCTTTTTATCACAGGAAAAGAAATCAGCCCTCGACAACTTCACCGGCAGAAAAAGAATTTTTTGAAAAAATCCAAACCCCTGGGTCACAATTTCATAAAAAATCTGACTGTTTGTGATGGCCCTTTGTGAGAGGGCTGAGGTGGCGTTTGTGATGGCCCTTTGTGAGTGGGCTCAGGTGGGGTTTGTGACTCAAACCCTTAGGGTGAGTCCCCAGTAGCATTTCATCTTTCAGCCTTGTAGATGTTAGCAGTTATGGAAGTGGACAACAGCCCTTTAAAGAACACAGCCAGCTCCTCCGCAAAGGCAGGGCTAATTGCAGGGCAGGGTTTGCCAACCTCAACCTCTTTGCTGAGACAACATCCACCCATTAACCACAATCAAGAGAAAACTGCAGCCACTGGAGGTTACAGGACCTGTCCATGGCCCTGATAGGGCTTGCCTAAATCTGGGTGTATTTTTATTTTTATTTATTTCACAAGATCTATACACCACTTGATTGCAAGAAAACCTCAAAGCAGTTTACAAAAAGAGTAAAACCATAAAATCATCTAAAAAAGGAAACAACTATTGAAAACATTGAAAAATAAATAAGATCAACAATGGGCAGGGAGTAAATTAAAATGTATGTCAAGATTCTACATTTATGGATGTTTAGCAGGCTCCAAAAAGTGTAGAGTGAAGTACCTGCTTGGGAGTTCCATCTGAAAATATCTATTTCTTACAATGCGGATCAAGTATTATGTGGCACTTGTAACAGTGCCAGTTCCACAGATCCAAGCCACTTGCATGGGCATATATAGGATAAGGAAATCTCACAAGGAAACTAGGGACAAGCTGTTAAAGGCTTTATATACTAACCTGTATATTTGACCTTGGCCCTGAACTTGATACTGCTAAATTGGATCTTTGCATTAAAGCAACAAAATCGCCAAACCAAGCCACAAACGCTTCTGGTCTTGCAGGCTTTGCATTAAGCGTGGTAGGGAGATTAAAATGTTTGTGGCCACTGCTGTCATTCCCCCCCCCCCGCACACCCGCCTGTCTTTCTTTTTCACCCCACACTCGGTGACCAGTAATAAACCAGATTCTCTTTTCTTCAGGATCGCCTAAGCAAGAACAATCACACAGTTTTACACCCCAGAATGGTTTTAAAATTAAAAATTGGCAGGCGTCGACTTTTACATCTCGTCCGCCCTCTTGCTAAGAGAAGATTGGGGGGGGGGGGGTGACGTAAAAAGAAAGAAGGGGGCACTTGTGTCAACAGAGTCTGCCCCAAGTAAGAAACCTTTTTCTTCCAGATGCCTTGAAAGCACAACTTATGGTGCTCCTTTATTTACTTCAGAGAATTCTACAAGGCAGAAATGCAGAGTCCTGTCTTTGATCTCTGTTAAGGCTGAATCGTTTCTTGTGTGGTATTTGTGGAAACATCATTGTAAGAGGTCTGAGTTATTCTTCCCCAGAATGTGTAGTTTCATTCATTCTCACCGGGGGCAAAACCGTCAGCTTCTCTCAGTTGTTCATGTTTGGGTGCCACCACATTTGCGGCACGGTCGTGCTCTTCAACGGCCCTGACCCCTTCTTTCACGCTCTCCATGGCCAGCGTGACAGGTCCATTCGGATCCGGCATGGGTTTGAAAAAGGAGGTATTTGCCAGGTTCAGGGTGTGGAGAGCCGGAAGGGGAGAGTCCAGGGCTGGCATTGCCTCGGCAAGGTCTCCCTCGCACTCCTCCTGTAATCATATCAAATATACCACATAGTCAGGATGAACAGTCCAGTGAACAATAACTTTCCAAGAACCACCCTTTGCTTCTTATTCCAGGTGCTGCCACTGGATGTGCCTTGATTGGTATTAATTGAGGGCCCTCTCTGGTGGCAGTTCCCCACCTGTCAAATGCACCCCTGCTGCAATGGGAACATGGTCACCCAGTGAGTTTTAGAACTCAGTGTGGATTTGAACCCTGATCTCCCCTGGCCTAACACTCAACTGCATCACACTCACTCACTTGTGACCCCACAAAAGGAGGGCATTTTTAGCCCAATATTACTTTTAGCTCTGGGGTAAATAGCAACCCTGGCGAGGCAGCTGTCCAACGTGTTCCCTTTTTTTTGAGGGAAATTCCCTTATTTCGAATAGGATTCTTCGCAAGAAATGGGAAAAGTTGACAGCTATGGGCGGATCAGAAGTGGGGGGGGCAAGGGGTTGAAACCCCTCTAAGTAACATCATGTGTGAACATCCCCTCTTAATTGTGGCTCTTTAGTTAAAAAGCAACTGTGGAAGGGCACATCATGTGCTGACAGTGCAGCCCTGTGTGTGCCTCTTCTTGGGTTCAATGGGGCTAACTCTCAGGTAAGCTGTCATAGTAGAGAATGGGGAGGGAGCACCAGGCTGCACAGCACAATTACCTGAATACCCTGGGCAATGGCGGCCGCTTCATTGGCTTCCTTTTCATCTGCACCCACTAGCTGTTCCTTGGCATCAGAAACCTCAGTGGTTACTTTTTCTAAGAGAACCACCATTTTCTCCGTTTCTGCGGAGGTCTGAATCCAGGTTGGCTGAAGAGCTGTCAGGGGCGCCTTGGTGACCTGATCAAACTCCTCCAAGTAGTATTCCACTTGAAATCCATTGAGTAAAAACTTGAAATTGCTTGAGTACTCAAGAACATTCTCTCTCAGTCTCTGTTCATAATACTGATCTTGCAACGGATACAGTAGATAATGAAAACAGATACAAATTTCCATAAAATCTACCTGTTTCAACATAACCAGAGACATGGGCTCCTTGGTGACGTGGTCAGACTCCTCCAAGTAGTATTCCACTTGAAATCCATTGAGTAAAAACTTGAAATTGCTTGAGTACTCAATAACGTTCTCTCTCAGTCTCCTGTACTCTACACCCTGCTGTTTGAAAGTTGCCATTAGCAGCACTGGCTCTGAGAGGGCACCCAACTCTTCCTCGCCGATATTTTCAAGCAAGACTAGGGTTCCAAACTGGATGGCATTCTCCAAAGTCCTTACGTAAGTGGAGTCAGACACCTCGATAATGGAAAGATTATAGCTTGCTGCTTCCGTGCCCCAATCCTCCTTTCCTCCCAAGCTCATCTTTTCAGCCCTTTCCAGCTTCTGAGAGCCTTCCTCAATGTTGTTTTCAAGCTCTTTCTTCCGGTTATTAAGTGATTCAAGTTCATCGTTCAGGTCCCGGAGGCGGTCAATTACTTTCTTTAGTTCGTCTCTGTCCGTATTGAGCTTCTGCATCAGTAGAGTGAGCAACCCTTCCTCTTTCCTGAGTTCTTGATGTTTTGGGCCACCACCTTTGCCACCCGGTCGTACGCTTCCATGGATCCAACTCCTTGGCACAAGCCTTTGCAGGCAGATGATACAGCTGGCTCTATGAAAGATGGCTGAAAGTCCACCTGGCTGAAAGTCCACAACTTCTCTCTACTTCTCTTCATTACAGCTGGGAGGAAATTCTCTTTGTCAGAAGTCTTCAAGGAGTCGAGGAATTTCAGGTGCCTTGCAACCATTTTGGAACTACCTGAAATTTCAAATAATATATTATTATATTAAATATATTAATATATATTAATATATATTAAATATATTAAAATGTTTTCAAAATATAAATATCTCATTTTAAAAATCTGGAAGATTTCAACCTTGCTATTCTTTCCCCTGTAATAGTTTTTGGAGCATCCAGGTGATTCTTAAGCCAAAGGAAATGGATAAGGTCATAAAATGACACTTGCATCTATGGTTCATTTTATTGCATTGAATGCAGGGGGAGGGGCTGATGCCCATTGGACTTGTAGGGCAGAATACGGGAGAGTCAACAGTAGTGGGGAATTAGAGCCAATGACAGGCAGAGTGAACTAATTCTGGCTTTGTCCTCACCCTCCTTCCTGCTGAGTTCCATAACAGCAACACTGGGCCTAAGGAGGAGCAGGAGCAGATGGGGGCTGGCTAAGGAGAGGCTTAGCTTTTTAGGGCACTTCCCCACTTGCCCTAATGGACTAAAGTCTACTGGTTGAATGTCTGAATATATAATATAAAGTGATACGATGAAAATGCTCAGTATCAACAAAGAAACACATGACAACCCCTCCCAATAGAGGATTAAAAAAATAAATTACCGCTTCCAGTTGAATCAGGTTTTCTTTCTGGCCTTTTTTTCACATTTTCCATGCCCAACTTGGCAGGTCCTGGTGGATCGTTTATGCAGTTGACAAATGAGGTGTTTGTCAGCTGCAGGGTATGGAGAGCTGAAAACGGACCTTCCAGGGCGGGCATTCGCTCCACCAGGTCGCTCTCGCACTCCTCCTGTAATGACATCAAATATATTCTCAGTAGGGATTTGATAGCCCTGGTCTCCCCCGGCCTAACACGCTAACTGCATCACACTCACTCTCTTGTGACCCCACCCACAAAAGGGGCAATGCTGGAGCTTCATGCTCTGTACCGGGGGGCAGATAGAAGGCGGGGCAGGGCGTGTGTCCTGGGGGCGGGAAGAGCTGCCTGTGGGGGTGGGGTGCCCAGCGCGGGGGCAGCTGCAATGGCACCCTGCCAGGATCATGCTGCCGGGGGTGGTGTGCTCCCCCTGCACTCCTCTTCCTCTGCCAGTGAAAGGGGGGGGGCATTTTTAGACATTTTTAGCAATAAATGCAAATGTTTTACCTTTAAAGGTAAAGGGTAAAGGGACCCCTGACTGTTAGGTCCAGTCACGGAAGACTCTGGGGTTGTGGCGCTCAACTTGCTTTACTGGTTGAGGGATCTGGCGTCCAGCTTCCGGGCACGTAGCCAGCATGACTAAGCCGCTTCTGGCAAACCAGAGCAGCATACAGAAACGCCGTTTACCCTCCCACCAGAGCGGTACCTATTTATCTACTTGCACTTAGACATGCTTTTGAACTGCTAGGTTGGCAGGAGCAGGGACCGAGCAACGGGAGCTCACCCTGTCACGGGCATTAAAACTGCAGACCTTCGTATTGGGCAAGTCCTACCCTAGTCACATTTTTTTCTTACCTCAGCATGTTTGGTGCCAGAAATTGACTCCAAGAGAATTATCCAGGAAATCGACATCGTAATCTATGAAAAAAGAAACAGAGGATGAACATTGTTTTTAGACAGCTTTTAAATCCCAGAACACTTTCCCGCCCAGGCTGTTCACCTAACAACTTACCTATTTGCAGCTCGTTTGCTGAAATGTCCTCTGTGCACCAGATAACCCCAATATAAACTTAACATTGGATTGTGATGTAATCTGGCACCCCTGTCTTCAATTATTATGCCAAGATGGGAAAAGTTAAAATTGTCATTGCTAGGCAAAATTTCAGTGATAAAAATGAATGTTTTGCCTAGAATGATATTTTTATTTCAAATAATACCTCTTGCGACTGATTCACTATTTAAAGAATGGCAAAAGGGGTTTATCTAGGTGTTATGGCAATGGAGAAAACCACAATTTAAAATGAAAGTACTGCAAGATGTAAAGCAAAGGGGAGGATTGGAAATGCCTGATTAGAAATTGTATTTTGCCACCTATTGCTTAGCGTGGATGAAGGAGTGAGTGATCCTAAGAAATAGGGGGATTTTGGAATTAGAGAGTCATGATTTAAGGTTTGGGTGACATGGATATCTGTGGTATGACAAGGTCAAAGTGAATGGACTTTCAAAACCATTTTGTTAGATGCACTATATTGAGAATCTGGAGAGAGATAAACCTAGGTTGTAGGTGAAGATACCCCTATGGAGTTCAGTGCAAGACGCATTTCATATGGAAACAGGTGACAGGTAAAGAGAAATGTTAGCCTAGGGAGGCCAGATGACTTCACCTATTACAACTTTCCATTTTATAGGTTTGTTAGATTTGTGCATTGCTTCCCACTAAGAAAGTGCCAATGCTATGTACAGCTGTTCTTCTGGTTTGTGCCAGAGCATTCCTACATCCCACTCTTCCTGAATTCTGGGTGAACTAGAATAATTCCAGAACAAAATATTCCAGAACAGCAGCACATGTGCTTCACTACAGTTTTAAGTTTCCCCAGTTCATTCCTTTGCATACACATACCAGTGTGCTCTGCACTTTAAGCTGGACGCAGCTCAACATGGGCTTCCTCCATGACATTTCCATATCTTTCTAGGGCACAAATGAGATGGGAGAACTAACGCAGTTCCCTCAGTCTTAGGGCGCAACAAGGTGGAGGTGGGCGAGCGGGAAGATGAAGCTCACAGGATCCTTATCAAGCAAAGCAATATACAGTGTCATCATGGAAAGAGTGAGATGGATGGGGGATGTCTTAGCCATGACCCTGCAATGATGGCGAAGAAATTCCAAACAAGGCTGAACTGGCCCCATGAATAAGTCGTCAGCCTGAAAGTTGGAAAAGAGTAAATGGCTTTCAAATGCAGCAAAAGTTGCATTATTACCAATAGAACAGTTTGCTATCAGTCAATATGCAGAGCCAGACCAATACATTTTGCTGCCTGAAGCAAAAAGCAAAAACAAAACGGTGCCTCTTCAATCCCATTCCACGTACAGCAGCCAATTGAGCTGGCAGCTGAGTCTTACAATGGGGCAGACAAACTCCAGACAAAGCATGGGATAACCCACCTAAGGTTATCAGGACAGTGGTGTCTCGGGCTGCCATAGGAATAACACAGGTCAGCCTGAGCTGTTTCATTTGAATAGGGTGATGGGGAACAGCAGCTTATGAACACTTCTCCAAGTGTTTTGTGCTCTTGGTAGCACTTGTGTCAACAGGGTCTGGCTCAAGTAAGAAACCTTTTTCTTGCAGATGTCTTGAAAGCACAACTTAGGTGCTCCTTTATCCCTTCAGAGAATTCCACAAGGCAGAAATGCAGAGTCCTGTTCTTTGATCTCTGTTAAGGCCGAATAGTTTCTTGTGTGGTATTTGTGGAAACATCATTGTAAGAGGCCTGAGTTACTTTCCCCAGAATGTCAGTCATTGCACACATCCTCTAAAATGTGTCCAGCCCATTCACTGCATGAGATATATGTTGTTCCCCTTTGAATTTCCATCTTTGAGTTCTGGCCTTAAAGGAACTAAAAGCTTGAATTTGTTGTGTTTAGTCGTGTCCGACTCTTCGTGACCCCATGGACCAGAGCACGCCAGGCTTGAATACTGCAAAGCATATCCATAAGGCAAGTGAGCTGGTGCAGTGAGGTATTGTGTGGCCTAATTAGCCAAGCCAATATTACTATCTGGTTACAGCAAAAGAAGAAGAAGAAGAGTTTGGATTTGATATCCCGCCTTTCACTCCCTTTAAGGAGTCTCAAAGCAGCTAACATTCTCCTTACCCTTCCTCCCCCACAACAAACACTCTGTGAGGTGAGTGGGGCTGAGAGACCTCAAAGAAGTGTGACTGGCCAAAGGTCACCCAGCAGCTGCATGTGGAGGAAGCAGAGACGCGAACCTGGTTCCCCATATTACGAGACTACCGCTCTTAACCACTACACCACACTGGCTCTCCAAAAGCTCAGGGTGGAACAATTATTCAATCCATGTTTCATATTTGACTCATCCTCTTCTTTCTTCTATATCCAATCCAGTCATTTCTTCCTGTCCAACTGATTATAATAATAGCTTTCCCCTTTGAAGTTGTGCCTTACCTATCCTACTGCTTTCTATGCTGCTGTGGCTGTCTGTCCCATAGAAAATAAACAAAAGAGTGTGTGCATCTCTGTGTGTGTGTGTATCCTGACTGATCAAACAGCAACATAAAACAAAATAGGGGGGAATAAAATAAAAGTAGCAGACTCAAATAAACTTTGTGATCCAGTCAATATACACCCAAAATCTAATAGCTGTGTTCCCCTCACAGAGCTGCAAGCTCCAGAGTTCCCTAGGAAGAGGAACTAACCTCTCAGCACCCTTAATAAAATCCCGTTCCCAGGATTTTAGAGGGGGAATACATGACTGTGTAGGTATGATATTGCTTTAAATGTATGGTGCAGATGGGGCCTAAAACCACCAGAAGATTAATATCTGGGTAGAGCGTGGAAGGCAGAGGGCAAGGAAGACCTTACACAGGAATGGACGGATTATGAAGTTAACAGAATCAAAGAATCATAGAGCTAGAATGGAAGAGAGGGTCATCTAGTTCAACATCCTGCAATGCAGGGGCTCAAAGCCATGACCCTGACCTGAAAATGAAAGCCATGGCAGGAACTGGGGAAAGCCAGAAGCGAAGTTGAATGAAATGACAAGGCAAAGAGTTGGGCTCAACCCAAGAAAGAAAACTGGGAGCAAAGCAAAGAGGACTTCCAGACCAGTCTTGGGTGGGATTCAGCCACATCCCAGCAAATCCCAGTTGTGCAGTCAAGGTGATTGGGAGGCCTTGAACAACAAACCCACTCCTCCCAAGAGAATGGACTTTTTACAAAATATTCCCCCTCTGGAGAAAGCTGATAGTTTTCCAGGACTTCTGCATCTTTACAATATGCAATTGGAAAGAACAGAGAGCTGGAGAAACCTGTCCTTGTCATCCAGTAATCTCCTACCATAGTTAGATTCGCCTTGGAACAGAAACAACGAATTGGAATGAAAATGGTAAGATGTTTATGGAGAATGCAGAGATACCTTCTGATTAAAACAGAAGACTAAATAAGACTCTGCTCACAAGGTGACCGGAGCCCTAATACAGGGGGGAACTGGAACCTACAGTGGGACACTTTTAATAAGCAGCCATATGTTAGCTGGCCTTGCATTACTAGGGATGATGAGTTTTGTCACAAATCCCAATATACTATGGGGTTTTGTGAGGCGTTTTGTGACAGGGCTGAGATAAGTTTGTGATGGCCCTTTGTGTGTGGGCCTGTGGGGGGTTTGTGATGGCCTTTGTGAGTGGGCTGAATAAGTTTTGTGATGCCCTTTGTGAGTGGGCTGAGGTGGGGTTGTGATACTGCTTTGTGAGAGGGCTGAGGTGGGGTTTGTGATGGCCCTTTGTGAGAGGGCTCATGGGGGGTTTGTTGGTGGCCCTTTGTGAGTTGCTGAGGTGGCGTTTGTGATGGCCCTTTGTGAGTGGGCTCAGGTGGGGTTTGTGACTCAAACCCTTAGGATGAGTCCCCAGTAGCATTTCATCTTTCAGCCTTGTAGATGTTAGCAGTTATGGAAGTGGACAACAGCCCTTTAAAGAACACAGCCAGCTCCTCTGCAAAGGCAGGGCTAATTGCAGGGCAGGGTTTGCCAACCTCAACCTTTTGCTGAGACAACATCCACCATTAACCACAATCAAGAGAAACTGCAGCACACTGGAGGTTACAGGACCTGTCCATGGCCCTGATAGGGCTTGCCTAAATCTGGGTGTATATTTATTTATTTATTTATTTCACAATCTATACACCACTTGATTGCAAGAAAACCTCAAAGCAGTTTACAAAAAGAGTAAACCATAAAATCATCTAAAAAAAGGAAACAACTATTGAAAACATCGAAAAATAAATAAGATCAACAATGGGCAGGGAGTAAATTAAAATGTATGTCAAGATTCTACATTTATGGATGTTTTTAGCAGGCTTCAAAAAGTGTAGAGTGAAGGTACCTGCTTGGGAGTTCCATCTGAAAATATCAATTTCTTACAAATGCGGATCAAGTATTATGTGGCACTTGTAACAGTGCCAGTTCCACAGATCCAAGCACTTGCATGGGCATATATAGGATAAGGAAATCTCACAAGAAACTAGGGACAAGCTGTTAAGGGCTTTATATACTAACCTGTATATTTGACCTTGGCCCTGAACTTGAAGCTGCTAAATTGGATCTTTGCATTAAAGCAACAAAATCCCCAAACCAAGCCACAAACACTTCTGGTCTTGCAGGCTTTGCATTTAAGTGTGGTGGGAGATTAAAATGTTTGCAGCCACTGCTGTGATTCCCCCCCCCGCAGCCCCGCCTGTCTTTCTTTTTCACCCCACACTCGTGACCAGTAATAAAACCAGAAGCTCTTTTCTTCAGGATCGCCTAAGCAAGAACAATCACACAGTTTTACACCCCAGGACAGTTTTAAAATAAAAAAATTGGCAGGCGTCCACTTTACATCTCACCCGCCCTCTGCTAAGAGAAGAAAGAAAGGGGGGATAGCACTTGTGTCAACAGAGTCTGCCCCAAGTAAGAAACCTTTTTCTTGCAGATGCCTTGAAAACACAACTTAGGTGCTCCTTTATTACGTCAGAGAATTCTACAAGGCAGAAATGCAGAGTCCTGTTCTTTTATCTCTGTTAAAGCTGAATTGTTTCTTGTGTGGTATTTGTGGAAACATCATTGTAAGAGGTCTGAGTTATTCTTCCCCAGAATGTGTAGTTTCATTCATTCTCACCGGGGGCAAACCGTCAGCTTCTCTCAGTTGTTCATGTTTGGGTGCCACCACATTTGCGGGCACGGTCGTGCTCTTCAACGGCCCTGACCCCTTCTTTCACGCTCTCCATGGCCAGCGTGACAGGTCCATTCGGGATCCGGCATGGGTTTGAAAAAGGAGGTATTTGCCAGGTTCAGGGTGTGGAGAGCCGGAAGGGGAGAGTCCAGGGCTGGCATTGCCTCAGCAAGGTCTCCCTCGCACTCCTCCTGTAATCATATCAAATATACCACATAGTCAGGATGAACAGTCCAGTGAAACAATAACTTTCCAAGAACCACCCTTTGCTTCTTATTCCAGGTGCTGCCACTGGATGTGCCTTGATTGGTATTAATTGAGGGCCCTCTCGGTGGCAGTTCCCCACCTGTCAAATGCACCCCTGCTGCAATGGGAACATGGTCACCCAGTGAGTTTTAGAACTCAGTGTGGATTTGAACCCTGATCTCCCCTGGCCTAACACTCAACTGCATCACACTCACTCACTTGTGACCCCACAAAAGGAGGGCATTTTTAGCCCAATATTACTTTTAGCTCTGGGGTAAATAGCAACCCTGGCGAGGCAGCTGTCAACGTTTCCCTTTTTTTTGAGGGAAATTCCCTTATTTCGAATAGGATTCTTCGCAAGAAATGGGAAAAGTTGACAGCTATGGGCGGATCAGAAGTGGGGGGCAAGGGTTGAAACCCCTCTAAGTAACATCATGTGTGAACATCCCTCTTAATTGTGGCTCTTTAGTTAAAAAGCAACTGTGGAAGGGCACATCATGTGCTGACAGTGCAGCCCTGTGTGTGCCTCTTCTTGGGTTCAATGGGGCTTACTCTCAGGTAAGCTGTCATAGTAGAGAAGGGGAGGGAGCACCAGGCTGCACAGCACAATTACCTGAATACCCTGGGCAATGGCGGCCGCTTCATTGGCTTCCTTTTCATCTGCACCCACTAGCTGTTCCTTGGCATCAGAAACCTCAGTTGGTTACTTTTTCTAAGAGAACCACCATTTTCTCCGTTTCTGCGGAGGTCTGAATCCAGGTTGGCTGAAGAGCTGTCAGGGGCGCCTTGGTGACCTGATCAAACTCCTCCAAGTAGTATTCCACTTGAAATCCATTGAGTAAAGACTTGAAATTGCTTGAGTACTCAAGAACATTCTCTCTCAGTCTCTGTTCATAATACTGATCTTGCAACGGATACAGTAGATAATGAAAACAGATACAAATTTCCATAAAATCTACCTGTTTCAACATAACCAGAGACATGGGCTCCTTGGTGACGTGGTCAGACTCCTCCAAGTAGTATTCCACTTGAAATCCATTGAGTAAAAACTTGAAATTGCTTGAGTACTCAATAACGTTCTCTCTCAGTCTCCTGTACTCTACACCCTGCTGTTTGAAAGTTGCCATTAGCAGCACTGGCTCTGAGAGGGCACCCAACTCTTCCTCGCCGATATTTTCAAGCAAGACTAGGGTTCCAAACTGGATGGCATTCTCCAAAGTCCTTACGTAAGTGGAGTCAGACACCTCGATAATGGAAAGATTATAGCTTGCTGCTTCCGTGCCCCAATCCTCCTTTCCTCCCAAGCTCATCTTTTCAGCCCTTTCCAGCTTCTGAGAGCCTTCCTCAATGTTGTTTTCAAGCTCTTTCTTCCGGTTATTAAGTGATTCCAGTTCATTGTTCAGGTCCCGGAGGCGGTCAATTACTTTCTTTAGTTCGTCTCTGTCCGTATTGAGCTTCTGCATCAGTAGAGTGAGCAACCCTTCCTCTTTCCTGAGTTCTTGATGTTTTGGAGCCACCACCTTTGCCACCCGGTCGTACGCTTCCATGGATCCAACTCCTTGGCACAAGCCTTTGCAGGCAGATGATACAGCTGGCTCTATGAAAGCTGGCTGAAAGTCCACCTGGCTGAAAGTCCACAACTTCTCTCTACTTCTCTTCATTACAGCTGGGAGGAAATTCTCTTTGTCAGAAGTCTTCAAGGAGTCGAGGAATTTCAGGTGCCTTACAACCATTTTGGAACTACCTGAAATTTTAAATAAATATATTATATATATTAAATATATTAAATATATTAATATATATTAAATATATTAAAATGTTTTTCAAAATATAAATATCTCATTTTAAAAATCTGGAAGATTGTCAACCTTGCTATTCTTTCCCCTGTAATAGTTTTTGGAGCATCCAGGTGATTCTTAAGCCAAAGGAAATGGATAAGGTCATTAAAATGACACTTGCATCTATGGTTCATTTTATTGCATTGAATGCAGGGGAGGGGCTGATGCCCATTGGACTTGTAGGGCAGAATACGGGAGAGTCAACAGTAGTGGGGAATTAGAGCCAATGACAGCAGAGTGAACTAATTCTGGCTTTGTTCCTCACCCTCCTTCCTGCTGAGGTCCATAACAGCAACACTGGGCCTAAGGAGGAGCAGGAGCAGATGGGGGCTGGCTAAGGAGAGGCTTAGCTTTTTAGGGCACTTCCCCACTTGCCCTAATGGACTAAAGTCTACTGGTTGAATGTCTGAATATATAATATAAAGTGATACGATGAAAATGCCTCAGTATCAACAAAGAAACACATGACAACCCCTCCCAATAGAGGATTAAAAAAATAAATTACCGCTTCCAGTTGAATCAGGTTTTCTTTCTGGCCTTTTTTTCACATTTTTCCATGCCCAACTTGGCAGGTCCTGGTGGATCGTTTATGCAGTTGACAAATGAGGTGTTTGTCAGCTGCAGGGTATGGAGAGCTGAAAACGGACCTTCCAGGGCGGGCATTCGCTCCACCAGGTCGCTCTCGCACTCCTCCTGTAATGACATCAAATATATTCTCAGTAGGGATTTGATAGCCCTGGTCTCCCCGGCCCTAACACGCTAACTGCATCACACTCACTCTCTTGTGACCCACCCACAAAAGGGGCAATGGTGGAGCTTCATGCTCTGTACCGGGGGGCAGAGAGAAGGCGGGGCAGGGCGTGTGTCCTGGGGGCGGGAAAGCCTGCCTGTGGGGGTGGGGTGCCCAGCGCGGGGGCAGCTGCAATGCACCCTGCCAGGATCATGCTGCCGGGGGTGGTGTGCTCCCCCTGCACTCCTCTTCCTCTGCCAGTGAAAGGGGGGGGCATTTTTAGACCGTTTTAGCAATAAATGCAAATGTTTTACCTTTAAGGTAAAGGGTTAAGGGACCCCTGACTGTTAAGTCCAGTCCGCAGACGACTCTGGGGTTGGGGCGCTCAACTCGCTTTACTGGTTGAGGGATCTGGCGTCCAGCTTCCGGGCAACGTAGCCAGCATGACTAAGCCGCTTCTGGCAAACCAGAGCAGCATACAGAAACGCCGTTTACCCTCCCACCAGAGCGGTGACCTATTTATCTACTTGCACTTAGACATGCTTTGAACTGCTAGGTTGGCAGGAGCAGGGACCGAGCAACGGGAGCTCACCCTGTCACGGGCATTAAAAACTGCAGACCTTCGTATTGGCAAGCCCTATCCTTAGTCACATTTTTTCCTTACCTCAGCCATGTTTTGGTGCCAGATAATTGACACCAAGAGGAATTATCCAGAAAATCGACATCGTAATCTATGAAAAAAGAACAGAGGATGAACATTGTTTTTTAGACAGCTTTTAAATCCCAGAACACTTTCCGCCCAGGCTGTTCACCTAACAACTTACCTATTTGCAGCCTCGTTTGCTGAAATGTCCTCTGTGCACCAAGATAACCCAATATAAACTTAACATTGGATTGTGATGTAATCTGGCACCCCTGTCTTCAATTATTATGCCAAGATGGGAAAAGTTAAAATTGTCATTGCTAGGCAAAATTTCAGTGATAAAAATGAATGTTTTGCCTAGAATGATATTTTTATTTCAAATAATACCTCTTGCGACTGATTCACTATTTAAAGAATGGCAAAAGGGGTTTATCTAAGTGTTATGGCAATGGAAAAAACCACAAGTTAAAAACGAAAAGTACTGCAAAGATGTAAAGCAAAGGGGAGGATTGGAAATGCCTGATTAGAAATTGTATTTTGCCACCTATTGCTTAGCGGTGGATGAGGAGTGAGTGATCCTAAGAAATAGGGGGATTTTGAAATTAGAGAGTCATGATTTAAGGTTTGGGTGACATGGATATCTGTGGTATGACAAGTCAAAGTGATATGGATCTTCAAAAACCATTTTGTTAGATGCACTATATTGAGAATCTGGAGGAGAGATAGAACCTAGGCTCAGGTGAAGATACCTCTTATGGAGTTCAGTGCAAGACGCATTTCATATGGAAACAGGTTGACAGGTAAAGAGAAATGCTTAGCCCTTAGGGAGGCCAGATGACTTCACCTTACAACTTTCCATTTAATAGGTTTGTTAGATTTGTGCATTGCATTGCCACTAAGAAAGTGTCAATGCGATGTAGCGAGGCTGTTCTTCTGGTTTGTTCTAGAGGCATTCCTACATCCCACTCTTCCCTGGATTCTGGGTGAGACCTAGAAATAATTCAGAACAAAATATTCCAGAACAGCAGCACATGTGCTTCACTACAGTTTTAAAGTTTCCCAGTTTCATTCCTTGGCATACACATACAGTGTGCCTCTGCACTTTAAGCTGGACACAGCTCAACATGGGCTTCCTCCATGACATTTCATATCTTTCTAGGGCACAAATGAGATGGGAGAACTAACGCAGTTACTCCCTCAGTCTTAGGGCGCAACAAGGTGGAGGTGGGCGAGCGGGAAGATGAAGCTCACAGGATCCTTATCAAGCAAAGCAATATACAGTGTCATCATGGGAAAAGAGTGAGATGGATGGGGGATGTCTTAGCCATGACCCTGCAATGATGGCGAAGAAATCCAAACAAGGCTGAACTGGCCCCAATGAATAAGTCATCAGCCTGAAAGTTGGAAAAGAGAAATGGGCTCTTCAATGCAGCAAAAGTTGCATTATTACCAATAAGAACAGTTTTGCTTTCAGTCAATATGCAGCATCCACACCAATACATTTTGCTGCCTGAAGCAAAAAGCAAAAACAAAACGGTGCCTCTTCAATCCCATTCCACGTACAGCAGCCAATTGAGCTGGCAGCTGAGTCTTACAATGGGGCAGACAAACTCCAGACAAAGCATGGGATAACCCACCTAAGGTTATCAGGACAGTGGTGTCTCGGGCTGCCATAGGAATAACACAGGTCAGCCTGAGCTGTTTCATTTGAATAGGGTATGTGGGGAACAGCAGCTTATGAACACTTCTCCAAGTGTTTTGTGCTCTTGGTAGCACTTGTGTCAACAGGGTCTGGCTCAAGTAAGAAACCTTTTTCTTGCAGATGTCTTGAAAGCACAACTTAGGTGCTCCTTTATCCCTTCAGAGAATTCCACAAAGCAGAAATGCAGAGTCCTGTTCTTTGATCTCTGTTAAGGCCGAATAGTTTCTTGTGTGGTATTTGTGGAAACATCATTGTAAGAGGCCTGAGTTACTTTCCCCCAGAATGTCAGTCATTGCACAACATCCTCTAAAATGTGTCCAGCCCATTCACTGCATGAGATATATGTTGTTCCCCTTTGAATTTCCATCTTTTGAGTTCTGGCCTTAAAGGAAACTAAAAGCTTGAATTTGTTGTTGTTTAGTCGTGTCCGACTCTTCGTGACCCCATGGACCAGAGCACGCCAGGCTTGAATACTGCAAAGGCATATCCATAAGGCAAGTGAGCTGGTGCAGTGAGGTATTGTGTGGCCTAATTAGCCAAGCCAATATTACTATCTGGTTACAGCAAAAGAAGAAGAAGAAGAGTTTTGGATTTGATATCCCCGCCTTTCACTCCCTTTAAGGAGTCTCAAAGCAGCTAATATTCTCCTGACCCTTCCTCCCCCACAATCAAACACTCTGTGAGCGTGAGTGGGGCTGAGAGACCTCAAAGAAGTGTGACTGGCCAAAGGTCACCCAGCAGCTGCATGTGGAGGAACAGAGACGCGAACACGGTTCCCCATATTACGAGACTACCGCTCTTAACCACTACACCACACTGGCTCTCCCAAAAAGCTCAGTGGTGGAACAATTATTCAATCCATGTTTCATATTTGACTCATCCTTCTCTTTCTTCTATATCCAATCCAGTCATTTCTTCCTGTCCAACTGATTATAATAATAGCTTTCCCCTTTGAAGTTGTGCCTTACCTATCCTACTGCTTTCTATGCTGCTGTGGCTGTCTGTCCCATAGAAAATGAACAAAAGAGTGTGTGCATCTCTCTCTCTCTCTCTCTCTCTCTCTCTGTGTGTGTGTGTGTGTATCCTGACTGATCAAACAGCAACATAAAACAAAATAGGGGGGAATAAAATAAAAGTAGCAGACTCAAATAAACTTTGTGATCCGTCAATATACGCCCAAAATCTAATAGCTGTGTTCCCCTCACAGAGCTGCAAGCTCCAGAGTTCCCTAGGAAGAGGAACTAACCTCTCAGCACCCTTAATAAACTCCAGTTCCCAATATTTTAGAGGGGGAATTCATGACCGTGTAAATAGGTATGATATTGCTTTAAAAGTATGGTGCAGATGGGGCCTAAAACCACCAGAAGATTAATATCTGGGGTAGAGAGTGGAAGGCAGAGGGCAAGGAAGACCTGACACAGGAATGGACGGATTATGAAGTTAACAGAATCAAAGAATCAAAGAGCTAGAATGGAAGAGAGGGTCATCTAGTTCAACATCCTGCAATGCAGGGGCTCAAAGCCATGACCCTGACCTAAAATGAAAGCCAAGGTAGGAACTGGGGAAAGCCAGAAGCGAAGTTGAATGAAATGCCAAGGCAAAGAGTTGGGCTCAACCCAAGAAAGAAAACTGGGAGCAAAGTAAAGAGGACTTCTAGACCAACGTTAGTCTTGGGTGGGATTCAGCCACATCCCAGCAAATCCCGTTGTGCAGTCAAGGTGATTGGGAGGCCTTGAAAAACAAACCCAGTCCTCCTAAAAGAATGACCTTTTCACAAAATATTCCCCCTCTGGAGAAAGCTAATAGTTTTCCAGGACTTCTGCATCTTTACAATATGCAATTGGAAAGAACAGAGAGCTGGAGAAGCCCCTGTCCATAGTTAGATTTGCCGTGGAACAGAAACAACGCATTGGAATGAAAATGGTAAGATGTTTATGGAGAATGCAGAGATACCTTCTGATTAAAACAGAAGACTAAATAAGACTCTGCTCACAAGGTGACCGAGCCCTAATACAGTGGGAACTGGAACCTACAGTGGGACACTTTTAATAAGCAGCCATATGTTAGCTGGCCTTGCATTACTAGGGATGATGGAGTTTTGTCACAAATCCCAATATACTATGGGGTTTGTGAGGGCGTTTTGTGACAGGGCTGAGATAAGTTTGTGATGGCCCTTTGTGTGCGGGCCGAGGTGGGGTTTGTGATGGCCCTTTGTGACAGGGCTGAGATAAGTTTGTGATGGCCCTTTGTGAGTGGCTGAGCGGGGTTTGTGATGGCCCTTTGTGAGTGGGCTGAGGT